GCTTTCCCTCAGCCCTTAATTTAAAAACTGTTCTATGAACTCTTTAATTTTAAGTGCCAGCAATCCAGTTCCATTTTGGTTTAGGTGGAGTCCATCCTTCCTGTATAGACTCCCCCTTTCCCAAAAGGTTCCCCAGTTCCAAATAAATCTAACCCCCTTCTCCCTACGCCATCATCTCATCCATGCATTGAGATCCTGCAGTTCTGCCTGTCTAACTGGCCATATGCATGGAACTGGAAGCATTTCAAAGAATGCTACCATAGAGGTCCTAGACTTCAATCTTTTACCTAGCAGCTTTGGCCTCCAGGACCTCTCTCCCATCCTTCCCTATGTCATTGGTGCCTACATGTACCATGACCACCGGTTTCTCTCCATCATTACACATAAGCCTATCTAGATCAGTGGTTCTCAAACTTTTGTACTAGTGACCCCTTTCACATAGCAAGCCTCTGAGTGCGACCACCCCCTTATAAATTAAAAATGCGTTTTTATATATTTAACACCATTATAAATTCTGGAGACAAAGCTGCATTTGGGGTGGAGCTTGACAGCCAGCGACCTCCCCATGTAATAACCTCGCAATCCTCTGAGGAGTCCCAACCCCCAGTTTGAGAACCCCTGATCTAGATATCTTGAGAGATCCGCAACCTTCGCACCAGACAGGGAAGTCACCATGCAGTTCTCCTGGTCATCACAAACACAGATAATTATGTTTCTAATGATTGAATCCCCCTTACTATTACCTGCTTCTTCCTAATAACTGGAGATCGCTCCCATGGAGAGGTATCCTCGGTGTAAGAGGATACCATGGCATCCTCTGGAAGGAGGGTCCCAACTATGGGATCGTTTCCCTCTGATCTAGTTTGATGTTCTCCTTCCCTGAGACTTTCATCCTCCTCAGTAACACAGAGGCTGTTGGACCGGGGGTGAGACCGTTCTATCGTGTCCCTGGAATCCTCCAACAGCCTAAGGACCCCAATAAACAGACAGCTGCATACAAATGGCTGAGATTCTTGTCAGACCAAAGTGAGTATTTCCCCATGACCAATGTGTAAATCTAATCTCATTGCTTTGTTTCCATTGCTCGGTTGCTTGGGAGCCGACTAGAGCATTTATCCAGATTTGAAACTCTTGGGAAATTTCAGGTTGAAATGTAATTAACCAGCTTTGGCCCCCATTCTCTGCTGTGCCCCACCTGGGAATGGGGCCCTCAGGGAACCTCATTGGCAGGTACTACACCAGCCTTGTTGGGGGCTGGAGCAGCCTGCTGGGGGGGCTGATTTAAACCTCAACAGCTGATAATGGTCCCTACAGTCCGTCCCTGCCCTGCCTCCTATGCTGGAGCTGTAGGAGAGGCTGGGTCGGGGGCTAGGTACACTCAGCACACCCTCCTGGGGCCTCCCCTCGCTCGGGGACATGCAGTCAGTGTCTGTACAAAGGGAGCTGAGTGGGTCAGAGGCTCAGACCGTCAGGGCATATTGCAAATAGCACAGTTGCTATTCCCTGTTCACTCTCACTGGCTGTAAGAGGATCTGTGCAAGGAAACCGTATGGATGGAGGCCAGGCTGCACAAACGTCACTGGG